GCAAGCTCGAGTTTGCATCAGAACTCATTTTCATAAAGACTTCGTCCTGACCTTGTCTCACTGCCCCTCCATCATCTTAGACAGGATTCGAGTTGTGGACGTGCGGTCATAAGACAGCAAGCACCTTTCTCTTCAGGCAAGTCCCTCACAAACCTTTTGGAGTGCACGAGGCTGTGCAATTCAATGGTACATTAGGCCTCTACTTAAATTTATCACGAGAAGTTGGCATACTTTGAATAGGAACTGAGTTCTTTGTTGTGATTTAAGGACTGATAGTGGATGTCTTTCACACAATAATATGAATAAGCCTAACGATGCCGGCCGATTTCAATTAGTGTTGCTTCCTAAAAGGTTTTATCCTCTTGATGAACTGCCTCGCCTCATGATCTCCTCAGCAGCCCTAACAGGATTTATAAACTGATCGTGCACCTGAAGTGGCGATAAGTTCATGTACTAGGTCGACTGGTGGTCTCCTCCTGTACAAGTGAATCAGTCGATTCTAATGTCTGTGTAGCAAATGCTCACGATCCGAGTTAGTATCTCGTTTGGGCTGCTGATGAGATCCGGGCTAAATTGAGGATGAGTCGATCTTGACTGAAGGAGTTTTTATTCAGGAGACCCTTAAATTGCATGTTTTTTGGTCCCATCTGACTGAGGAGTTGTTATAAACTGGAACTAATTTGGATAAAATGTTCTCTTTTCTTTCCCCAAAATGTCCCATCTCTTCAGTTAAATCGCTGTGTCCATCAGCATGCCTTTCCTAACATACGGTATGGTCTACCCGTCTAGCCAATTGCCCTTCGCTCCCGTCAGCCAATCACCCCTACCTGCCTCCTACAGGAAGCCTCCAGCCTCCACACCACGTCGTCTCCGGTCGCCCAAGTTCAGGCCGTCTGATCAGCCTGGGCCTTGGCGGGCCATCGGTTTCCCTCAAGCCGCAAATCAACGGCCTCCTCCCGGTTTACTCGTCACAAACAACTCATTAAGCTTCGAGGCTGGCTCGGGCTTGACCACCGGCAGATCGTGGAGCAGTCTTCAGGCTGACGGGGCTGCCTCTTCACTCAGTCAGTCCACCTTTTTATGTGACTCGAATTTGCATTTCGTCAATTTGTCTCATCGGAAGCCGACTAATGTTTATCTTGGAGTCGAGATTGCCGAATTCCGTGAAGATAGACATTAGTAGAGCCAGCAAGTTGTAAACACTAAACCAAGAAGGGTGACAGCCTACAAGTATACTCACTCCATATACCTAATTTTGCTATCCAAATCATAAGATGCCCAATTAGGATCGCATAATTAATTGAAAGAAATGAGTAGGAATGCTCCTGGCCACATTTTTCGGTTTGGCGTATTGGTACTTTTTGCGATAATGCCATCTGTCACGGCAGGACAGACTTTTTCTCTGCACTGAATTATCGTGGCGTAGGACAATGATGCGAGAAATTACTCTCAACATTTTATTGGCCTCATTCTAAGACAAATTTCCTTCGGTTTCCGGTGCGGATTATTCACGAATTCCTCTCAACCAACTCTTCTTTTGAAATTAAAAATCTAATCTTATCAGATTATTAGGAGATTCTTATATATATATATATATATATCAATAAATAAATAAATAAATAAATAAAT